TTTTTCAACGTTTTTTATTTATTTTTGGGACAGAGAGAGACAGAGCATGAACGGGGGAGGGGCAGAGAGAGAGGGAGACACAGAATCGGAAACAGGCTCCAGGCTCTGAGCCATCTGCCCAGAGCCTGATGCGGAGCCCGAACTCCCGGACCGCGAGATCGTGACCTGGCTGAAGTCGGACGCTTAACCGACTGCGCCACCCAGGCACCCCGAGAAGTTACCATTCTTAATGTCAATTCGAAGTTACTTTTATTTATTTTTTATAAAAAAGTGTTTTTAAGGTAATTTATTTTGAGAGAAAGCGCCCATGTGTGTCCACACGCATGAGTGAGGGAGGGGCAAAGAGAGAATCCCAAGCAGGCTTTGAGCCGTTAGCACAGAGCTTGACTCAGGCTCTATCCCACGCACCTCGAGATCATCACCTGGGCTGCATTCAAGAGTCAGATGCCCAACCAGCTGAGCCACCCAGGTGCCCCTGAAGTTAATCTTTTATTTAAAAAAATTTTTGTTTTTTTTTTGTTTTTTTTTTGTTTTTTATTTTCTATTTGAAAGAGACAGAGCAGGAGCCAGGGGAGGGCCAGAGAGATGGAGAGAGAATCTGAAGGAGGCTGCAGGCTCTGAGCTTTCAGCTCAGAACCCAACAGGGCTTGAACTCAGGAGCAATGAGATCATGACCTGAGCCAAAGTTGAACGCATAACTGACTGAGCCACCATGCACCCCCAAAGTTATTCTTTTACATAAAAGGAATATAGGGAACTGGAATATAGGGAGTTTGTGCTAACTCTAGAATGAACATACATTGGAATTATTTCTTTTGGCCACATCTTTCTCAGTTATTTCCTTTTATTAAAAGTTTGCAATTCGGGTACCCAGCTTGCTCCGTAGGTTGAGCGTGTGACTCTTGATCTTGGGGTTGTGAGTTTGAGCCCCAGATTGTGGGTGTAGAGGTTACTTAAACATTTAAAAATAAGTTTTCTGTTACTCGAGGTTCATGCTTTTGTGACATTTTCCATTTGTGCTGATTTACTGTGGATGATTTCCTTTGATTATTCCTCCAGAACATTAGCAGTGAAGTACTATCCATGGTACTTACACCTGAGGCAGAAAAAAGAAATTCTGAAAAGGAACTATCAGGTCACTTGAGTAGTTTGAAGACTTCCTTGCAGACTTTGGAACTTGGTAAAACCGAAGACCAGGGGATGCAATCTCCAGATGCTCCAGAGCAGTTTTCAGATAATAATTCAAGGTACAAATATATTGGTCTGTGTGCTTTTAAAGAAAAAGTATCTAAAGTTATTTTCACATTCTGTGAAACAAAGGTTTTAAAACGTATCATCTATAGTGTAATGTTGCAGATTCCAAGCTAGTTTTGGGATGACTGGAGGTGAGTTTTGAGGTAATTGTGATAATCTATTGAGAGAATTACTAACATCAGAATTGTATGTAACAAATATTCCTAAGTCAGTATGGGTGTGACAACGTGTATTTCCTCTGTGCAAAGGTGATATTCATAGGCTTATACCTAGATTGTACACCTCCTGTTTTTTTGGATCTACCATATTGTTCAATTTTTTTTCCTGTTAAGAATTGGAATTCATGTTTACTACCAGTTTCTAAAGTTGTCCTAAGACTCTGGTCTCATTTGCCCCTTCATCTCATTCTAAAATTTGATAATCCTTATTCCAAAAGCAAGTCTCTTCCTCAAGAACAGAAGCCATTTGAAGTTAAACCAGCACCTTTTGTGAGAAGTCGATTCAAAAGACCAAAACCAAACTTAGCAAGAGCAACTTTAAAGAGAGAGACTACGGAAGCAGGAAAATATGTACCTGGGAAGAAATTGGAAACGGATAAAGCTGAGACTGTTGTGTTACAGCAGAGCAGTGGACAGATGAACACTCTCCCTTCTCAACATGTGAGTGCTGTGGAAGGTGGAGGGTTTTTATTTTAGCTGTTACGGTTACTGAACTAAAGCAACTGGGATTAATGTTTCACAAATATTTTCTCCGGCAGTTTCTGTTGCATGTGACATTAGTGTTGCTGTACTTAATGTGCCTCATTATTCCATGGGGTTTTTTTTGTGAGAATCTTGAATCTTTCATGGTGGGCAAGTGTGTCATGGAAAGACATTTAAGGGGGTTGGGATGCCAAGTTCTGACCTGCATTCATTATGTGACCCGAGCCAAATGGTGGCAGCTCATTTCTTCATAGGAAAAATGAGATTGGTAGTCATTTTTTGTTTCATTCTGTTGTGAAGGGTGAAATACAAAGTTAAAAGCTTGATAGGAGTTAAAAGTAAGTTAAAAGTAAGTTTAGTTTACTTTGTTAACTTGGTCCATAACAAATTAAGATTGTGTGATATAACATCAGAAACTTTGAAATGAAGTGTTAACACTCATTAGTTGACTGTTATAAAAGTAGTTTTTTGGCCATATAGATGGCAACAGGTATATGAAAAGATCATCAGCATCATTAATCATCAAGAAAATGCAAATCAAAACCACAATGAGGTATCACCTCACACCAGTCAGAATAACTAGTATCAAAAAAGACCAGAAATAACAAGCGGTGGCAAGGATGTGGAGGGAAAGGAATCCTTGTACACTGTTGGTGGGAATGTAAATTGGTGCAGCCATTGTGGAAAACCGTATGGAGCTTCCTCAAAAAGTAAAAATAGAATTACCATGTGATTCACTAATTCTAGTATTGGTTATTTACCCAAAGAAAATGAAAGCTCTAATTCCAAAGATATAGGCACCCCTATGTTTGTCATAGCATTATTTACAATAGACAAGATATGAAAGCAACCAAAGTGTCCTTCAACAGATGAATGGATAAAGAAGATGTGTTATATGTATATATATATAAATCCACAATGGAATATTGCTTGCCATTTAAAATAACATGGATGGACCTACAAGTCTATTTTGCCAAGTGAAATATGCTGAGAAAACTAAGACAGAGAAAGACAAATAGCATATAATTTCACTTATATATAGGTTCTAGAAAATAAAAAACAGAAACAGTCATAAAGACAGAAAACAAACTGGTGGTTGCCAGAAGAGAAGGGGTAAGGGAGATCGACAAAATAGGAAAAGGGGATTAAGAGGTACAAACTTCTGAGCCACCTGGCTGGCTCAATCGGTAGACCATGCAACTCTTGAGGTTGTAAGTTTGAGCCCCCGGTGGGTGTAGAGATTACTTAAAATTTTGAAGAGGTACAAACTTTCAGTCCTAAGTAACTCAGGGAGATAAAAAGTACAGCATAGGGAATACAGTTAATGTAGTGACTACGCCTGTCGGGGTGATTATCAAGCAGTGTATGGAGCTGCTGAATCACTGTGTTGTATGTCTAAGACTAGTAACATTGTACGCCACCTACACTTCAATAATTAATAAAAAACTAGTTAATAAAAAAATGACCGGCGCCTGGGTGGCTCAGTCAGTTAAGCGGCTGACAGCCATGTGCTGACATCTCAGAGCCTGGAGCCTACTTTGGATTCTGTGTCTCCCTCTCTCTCTCTGCTCCTCTTCTTCTTATTTTCTCTCTCTCTCTCTCTCTCTCTCTCAAAAATAAACATTGAAAAAAATTAAAAATAAATAAAATGACAAAGTGCTTTTTTGAAATAAAATTCGTCTTTTATGTTTTCAAAATAGCTTAGTTCTTACTGTGCTTAAAAATTTGTACTTTTGGGGTGCCTGGGTGGCTCAGTCAGTTAAGTGGCCAACTTCGGCTCAGGTGATGATCAAGCGGTCCGTGACTTCGAGCTCCAAGTCAGGCTCTGTGCTGACAGCTCAGAGCCTGGAGCCTGTTTCAGATTCTGTGTCTCCCTCTCTCTGACCCTCCTCCGTTCATGCTCTGTCTCTCTCTGTCTCAAAAATAAATAAACGTTAAAAAAAAAAAAGTTTAAAAAAATTTGTACTTTTTCTTCCGATCTTATATTTTTAAAAGGTGTATCTTTTTTTATTGGTTATTTTATCTGATTATAAAAATTTCAGATTGAAAAAATATGTAATCTAAAATGTGAGAGTCCTTTATAATATTCCATTTCTCCCTCCCAAGTTAATCACATAGCTATTTTGAATGTATCCACATAGCCTTTTCTGTATAGATACTTTTTTATATAAATAATAAAATGTTGTGGGTATTTTTATTATTTTGCAAAAATGGCACCCTAGCTTGCCTTCTCATTTTTTCACTTAACACAGTATTGTGAACATATTTTTGGATCATTATATAGAAATTTATCTTCTAAATGGCTTTGCACCGTTGCATTATAAACAAATTATAATTTATTTATTCAATACCCTACTGATAGGTTTGTCTTATTTCTAATTTTTTGTTTTCTTGCTTTTCTGGGGGGGCTATTAAATTGCTATAGCAAATGTCCTTGTATGTAATTTTTTATATACTTACTTGAGTATTTTTATAAGATAAGTTTCTAGAAGTAGAATTTCTGGGAATTAAAATTTTTGGTAGATACTGTTGTTTTCTCTGCAGAGACTTGACCAATTTATTTTGCTTAGTAGTGTATGAAAGTTCCTATTTCCCTATACTTTAACCATACCCTTGATGAAATTTTTTTGTCTGCCTTCTAGGATGTTGCTTCCCTAATGGCAGCAGGAGAAAAAGACAAATCAGGTCACAGTCAGGAGGAGGTTGTGATATTACCATGTATACAGACTGAAAAGGACCTTTCACCTTCAAGTTCTTGTGGTCCTCAAGAGGAGTCTCAGCCTGTGCAAGCCCAGGAAAAGGAATTAGTTGTTTCTATGGGGTAAACAGTGATAGTTCTTTGAAAATCTAAAATATGAAAAAGAAAAAGAAAATCTAAAATAGAATTCCTTCAAATATTTCTCCAGTGTTTTTGAGATGTGTTAATGTATTTTAAAAGTGAATACCAAAAATACTTCGTTTATTTTTATTCATATGGCAGCCTGCCTAAAATAGAAAATCACATTGAGTTCTACACCTTTTAATGCTTGACTGCTTGTTAGATTCACTATTAGCTGCTTAAGGTTTTATACAAAGCATTGCATTAAAAAACACGTGTATAAGATTTATATTAATTGTCTTCTTAAAAATTGTGGTAAAAGACATAAAATTTACCAGTTTAATATTTTTTTTTTTATCGTCTAATGGCATTGAGGACATTCGCATTGTTTTTACAATCTTTGTCACATTTCTCTCTAGAACTTTTTCATGTTCGCAAGCTGAAACTCTGTACCCATTAACAAGACCTCCCTAACCTCCCTCTTCCATTCCCTGGCAACTACCATTGTGCTTTCTCTCTGTCTGTGAGTTTCAGTCTTCTAGGTACCTTATATAAGTTCATTACCTTGTGAAAATTAAAATAACCTTTTTTTTAATAAAAGAAGATTTATGTATCATCAGAAAATAGATTTTTCTCTAATGTTACAAAAAGTTTTATAGTTTATTAGAGGAGATTCAAATTTTGTATTTTTATGGTAGTTTTCATCTTTTTACATTTCAATTCCCTCTCTTTGTCCTGGTCTTCTTTTCTAGGGCTCATAATATAAACAGTTCCCAGCAAGAATCCAAGGAAAGTGTTGTCCCAACCATTCGAACAGTAAGGGGCCGACTTCAAAAACCCAGACCAAACATAAGAAAGACTGGACAGAGGCATATAGAAAAAGGTGAAGCCAAAGGCATAGTTGAGGAAGAAAAAACAGTAGTACAGAAAGATGAAACTAAAAAACTATTGACTGTGGTGAGTTATTGTTATATAATTAAATTGAGCCTTTTAATGCATGTTAAAATATGAAATGACAGCTCAGACTTGGCTTAGAGTATAGGCATCTGACACTCTAATCAATGAATATGTAACATAACCTAATTCTGTTCCAGATTTCCTATTCTGGGTTTTTTTTAAGTGAAAGTGGATATATATTTTTTCCTTTTTAATGAACTCATTCTTTATGAAATGGGTTCAGTCATTTCATAAATGTTCAGTCAGTATAAAACAACATAATGACTCTCCCAGTCTTATTACACTGAGGTAACTACTGAAAACCTTCTGACATATCTTCCTGGGTATATCTCCATCCATGCATGTGTGTTCACTTAGGTAAATTTAAATAATAAATTCGTCGGGGTGCCTGGTTGGCTCATTTGGTAGAGCATGTGACTCTTAATCAGGAGATGTAAGTTCTAGCCCCACAGTGGGTGTAGAGATTACTTAAAAATAAAATAATTTTTTTAAATTCTAAAATTACTGTGTGTTAGTTTTATCACTTAGCTTTTACTTAATATGTTGACTTTTTGCATCAAGAAACATGGAGACACATCATTTTTCACTACTGCGTGACATCCTGCTGTTTGAATGAAAATTTAACCAATCTTTTACTGATGCATCTTGTGATATGAATCTAAGTAGAATAATGCCCTTTTTAACAGATCTTGTGCTTTTTTTTTTTTGTCCTTTTTATTTGTCTACCAAGGGAAAATGTAGATTTAAAGTGATTATAGTCCTTGTTTGAACCCTCCTGCACCCCAAAAACTGTGCTTTTAAAAAAAAAATCATTTTTGGTGAGGTTGTTGACAGCAGATAACTATTGTAGTTTTTAAAGCATTTTGTAAATGTAATAACTGCAATAAATGAAACTTCCTCTCTGAATTAGGACTTTGGTTTTGGGCAGCGAACATGAACATTGCATACCTAGTTTGACTCTTCATTTTGAAAAACTCAATACCTTTCTTAATGATTGAACAATTTTAGGAAGTATGTTCACTTGTTAAAAAAAATCATCTTGTTTTGTCATTTTAGCCAAATTCTCCAGTTGGAACTGAAATTGAAGTTGTATCCTCCAAAGTTTCTGAAGGTAGACTACATGAAAACCAGAGTCACATGGTTCTCGTAGACTCTCTTCATGTTAACAAAGTAAATGTTTTAGATGAAAAGATGAGGTGAGTTTGCTTTTAATCAGAAAACCATAAAACTTTCTAAAGATGAAGATTGGATAACTTCACATCGAGAACATTTTGTTAAAGGATAAATAATTAATTATGAAACAGAATATTTTAAGTATGCTTCTTCAGATAGTATAAGAATTGCATGATTGATACTCTCGTAATTTATAATTTCTGCACAAAGCTTGGTGAACCTCATTATTTTTTACTTTAAAATTCAATTTGTTAGTAAACAGAAATTCTTAAGTTCTTTGTATGTTTACAGTTTATATCTAATTGAAATTCATAAATAGGAAGTTCAGTGAAGTATATATGTTGTATTTAGACCTGTGTTCTAAGCCAAATGGTGAGAATATCCTTTAAAAGAGTTAACGCTAGAAAAATGAAGATATTTTAGTACCACCACTTTTATTTATTACTTGCAGTCTGCCTTATTATTACTGATACTACTTTAAAAATTTTTTTTTTTATGTTTTTTTTAAATTTATTTTTGAGACAGCATGAGCAGGGGAGGGGCAGAGAGAGGGAGACACAGAATCGGAAGCAGGCTCCAGGCTCTGAGCTGTCAGCACAGAGCCCAACGCGGGGCTCGAACTCATGGACTATGAGATCATGACCTGAGCTGAAGTCGGACACTTAACCGACTGAGCCACCCAGGCGCCCCACTGATACTACTTTTTAATTAGTGGTGATCAGAGAATGTTTCATTGTGCGGGTGCTGCTGGAGAGAAGACCCAAAAGAAGTGAAGGAGCAGGTCCAGATGATGTATAGGGGGAGAGAGAACAACAACTTGAAAATACTGCAGGCAAGAGCATGCCTGACTTGTTTGAGGAACAGCAAGGGGAGCGAGTTTGAAATGGGTAAAGAGGGAGAGAGCAGTACATGTAAGAAAGATAGAGCCCAGCCAAGGGCAATGGCAGATTATATAGGACTTGTTGTAAGGAATTTGATTTTTACTCTAAGTGAACCTTTAAACACTAGTGACCTTCAAGATCAGTGTTTCCTAATGCTCTCATTTATAATTGAGTAGGTTGACCTAGAGGATTTAAATGGCTTGTTGAAAGTAACATTGCCAAATTAGTTTTTAAAGTTAAATTTTCAGGATTTATGACTTTCAGACTAGCAAATTGACATAGTTATATAGGCAGACCTTTCTGTATAAAGAAAGAAGCTTTACATGTTTCAAGAGATATTATGTGGAGCCTTTGTGTTTTTTAATGAGAGAAATCAAACCTTTTTTTAAAATTTTTTTTATAGATCAGGCATTGGCTGTTTTTTTTTGTTTTTGTTTTTTTTTAATGTTTATTTATTTTTGAGAGAGCCAGAGCATGAGCAGGGCAGGGGCAGAGAGAGAGAGAGGGAGACACAGAACCCATCTGAAGCAGGCTCCAGGCTCTGAGCTGTCAGCACAGTGCCTGATGTGGGGCTTGAGCTCATGGACCATGAGATCTTATTTGAGCTCAAGTTGGATGCTTAACCGACTGAGCCACCCAGTGCTTCCCCCCTGCCCTTTTTTTTTTTTAATTTTTTAACGTTTATTTATTTTTTGAGAGACAGAGTGAAACAGGGGATGGGCAGAGAGAGGGAGACACAGAATCCAAAGCAAGCTCTAGGCTCTAAGCTGTCAGCACAGAGCCTGATGTGGGGCTCGAACCCATGAACTGTGAGATCATGACCTGAGCTGAAGTTGGATGCTTAACCGACTAAGCCACCCAGGCGCCCCAGAGAGAAATCAAACTTTTAATTTTCCTTTTTGGAAACCCATACTCCAGCCCACAGCCCCCTGTTTTTGAAAACCCTTTTTCTATTTGTGAAATTTATTCCAGCTGTTTACTTTATCATGAATGGTAATTTCTTTAGGGTATGTAATCTTAATAGTTTTAAAGTTAGGTTATTCCGAAGTCCAGTATTATCTCTTTTAACTTCAGTAGCGTTTTATCCTTACTTGCATTTGTAAAATCACACTTGACTGTCAATAGCTTAAGTTAAATACAATGTTTTCCTAAATACGTTAGCCTACATTGGAATGTATTTAGCCACATCATAACCCTGTTAGAATTTCTTGTGAACTTCTTAGGTGTTTGACTGACCAAAGAGCTTAGCAGGGTTGGAACATTTAGAAATGTAGTTAACTACTTACTCTTCTAGATAATTTAGTATAAGTATTACTCAAAATTAGTCTTTAATACAGATCTTTCAGAGAACTCCTGATACTTAATTTTCTTTATAATATCTAGGTTTATGTTAATTTTAAACTTCCCAGTTCAGAATTCAGATCCTTGCTAGTTATTAAAATATTTTCCAGGAAAACCTAGGATAGGTGTTTAGGGATTGTCTTGGGAGCTATTCGTACTCTATTGAATGTTAAAACCTTGTCTTTGTCTGATTTGGCAGATACACATGGGTTATATTGAGATCATATGAATCTGACTCTTAGTAAATCCTTTTCCATTAGCTGATAGGTTTCTGATAGGAGAGTGGACTCTGGCTTTCAAGCCTGGTCTTGGGCCAGAAGGACCAAGGATGTAACCATTGTACATTTGTCCATGTTCAAGTACTGGCTTTTTTTTTTTTTTTTTTTTTTTGTATTTGGTTATTTCTCTGAAAATTACTTAAAGTACCATGACACTACACATCAGAATCAATGAATGAAAGTAAGAAAAGATTGTTATTTTATTTATTTATTTATTTATTTATTTATTTATTTATTTTTTAATGTTTATTTTTGAGACAGAGAGAGACAGAGCATGAACGGGGGAGGGTCAGAGAGAGGGAGACACAGAATCGGAAACAGGCTCCAGGCTCTGAGCTATCAGCACAGAGCCTGATGCGGGGCTCGAACTCACGGACCGCGAGATCATGACCTGAGCCGAAGTCGGCCGCTTAACCGACTGAGCCACCCAGGTGCCCCAAGATTGTTATTTTAAAAGTATTTTCCAGATGATACAGAAACTGCAAGTTGTAAAAGCTTTTATGTTCTTTATATCATCATGTGTGCTTGGTTTTAGAGCCAATTTATATATAGTCCTTCGAACATAGAATTGGCTTGTGTTGAAAAGTGTTTGACATAGCAGCTGTTAAATCAACAAGGAATTGTGATTTTGGTTTTTCAACATGATATGTACTTCGTTCTAGACCTGAACCTAAAAGGTATGTTCCTAGTCCAACACAGTTGACAAGAAGGCAATTCCAAAAGGCTAAGCCAAATTTGGGAAGAGCACATGGTAAGAACAAGGAACTAGGTATAGAAAAAGACAGAACAGATCAGAGTGAGGCAAGGAAGCCAGAAGATAATTTGCTGCAGCCAGGAGATGATACCCAGCTCCTTCAAAAAGTAAGTTTGAAAAAAATACTTTTTATCATTCGCTCTGTGTTGTCAAGATCGTGACGGAGAGAATTTATAAAAAAATACAGTTTTGTCTTTTGTACTGTAACCAATTTTATAAAAATTGAGCTACTTTCCAATATTAAAAAATTTAGAAGCTAGCCATCGTGTGTGTGTGTGTGTGTGTGTGTGTGTGTGTAAGCTTAGAGCTTTAGGTCCAACCCCCAAACCAAATTACGATAGAGATTGTTTGCATGGTAACATTAGCTGTTCTTAAATTTAAGGAAAAGGCTGAGTTTCTGACATCATTGGAGGTTTCAGCAAGAAAAGATTGTATAGATTCCAAAGAGGCTATTTTGGCTAAAAAAGATGCCCTTTCAGAAGTTGGACCATCAGGAAGTGTTGGAGAAAAAACTATAGTGGATAATTCTGTGTCTTCAGTTGTTGAAGAGCAGTGTGTCAGTAAACTAACAAGGTAAAGTTTTATTTAACAAATATCTTCAGAATAGGAAATAAAAGTAACTTACTCTTTATGGCTGTCCTACCTTAACGGTAGAGTGAAAAAAGATGGCTTGTTAACAGAAGTGTAGATAATTTTTTATTGACAGATCTGTTTCTTAACCACTTAAGTTAAGAGAGAGAGTGCACACATGTAAGCAAGGTATAGGGGCAGAAGGAGATAGAGAGAATCTTAAGCAGGCTCCACACTCAGCACAGATCCTGATGTGGTCCTCGATCCCATGACCACAGCCAAAATCAAGAGTTGAATGCTCACCCGACTGAGCCACCCAGGTGTCCCTACCTATGATTTTTATTTACTAAAGTTTATCTTTTTTTGATGTTCTTAGGAAGACTTTTCTTTCCTATGTTTAAAATTTCTGAATGTTGAGTATATTAGACATGAGCAGAAGTCTGATAAAAGAATAGTGTGTCTTACCTAAATAATTAAGGTGCTGGTTTGAATGGGGTCGCAAACTAAAGTGAAGGGTACTCATGTTCTACAGTTTACAGGGAAAGTGGAAAGGAACTTAAGTTCTAAAAAACAACATCGTTCCATGGGTTTTCTGCCTTCTCTTTTTTCTTTTTACCTAGTCTGTTTACCCAGTACTGTATACCAGTATCACTTTTTGATCCTATATTCTGTTTTATTGGACCATTTTCTTTTTCTCATTTTTTTCTAATAATTTCTAGAAATTATCACTTAAATAGCAAGGAAAAAATGGTCCAGAATTAAAAACTTACCATGAAAAATGTGTAGGTAGATAAACGAAGAACAAACTCTGAATAAGGAACTAGTAGTAATAGTAAATTTCTTTATTTCACGGCATAAATTTTTGACGTAATGGGTTGTGGGAGTTTTCATTTTAATGCCTTGAACTGGGATTTCATTCTTAAATTTGGTTTCCGTTAAAATTATCTTTATCCTTGTGCGTGTAATGACTTTATTGTTATTTTGATCATACATCCAGCCCTCCACAACTATTGAAAGAATCAAGTTACTCTAAAATTGCTCTGGATCGAAGAACAACGATCTCTTCTGCTTCTGAGAACGAGGTGGATCATGGTGGAAGGAGAATGCATCGAAAGATCAAACCAAATGTCACTAGGGGCCGTGGATCAAAACGAATGCGAAGTAAGACCTCTAGGAAGGAACCTCGTGCTTCCAAGTCCACGCTGGTGACTCTTCGGGCTTCTCAGGAAGAAGATGAAGATGATGCTGAAGATTTTGAGCCTGATTATGAAGAAGACAGTTACCATCTTGCTCCAGAAGAAGTAAACAAAGCTCCAGTGTTTGTTCCCATTGGTCTCAGATCTCCCGAACCTGTTACTGCTCAAATTGAGGAAACGATGGAAGAGGTATTTTGTTTTTTGAATCTTGGAACTTTGTCTTACTTGTTTTTTTCTTTTAGTGTATCATTATTTCTTCTTAGTGATTATTAGGGTTTGAACAGTTCATTTGCTAAATAAACCCTGCCGTATGTAATTTGTTTAAGCCCTGGTAGATATTTGAAGGAATCAATAGAAGGAGGCTCCTGTATTACTGAACCTCTATAATCTAGGCCTGCCATGAGGTGGCCAGTGTAATAATGATAGAAATCTGATTTCACTTGAATGTGGAGGCTACTAAATCTACTTTCTGATTAATTTTTCCTTTTCATTTTGGCAGATGTTTTAACTCTCTGGTAGGCTCAGGTTAAGCTCTGGTTGGTAGACAAGGTAGAAGGGACACCTTTTTTTTCTTTTCTTTTTCTTTTAAATGTGGTAAAGGACCCCTGAGTGGCTTAATTGGTTGGGTGTGAGACTCTTGGTTTTGGCTTATGTCGTGATCTCACAGTCGTGAGATTGAGCCCCACATCAGCCTCTTTGCTAGGCATGGAGCCTGCTTGAGATTCACTTTCTCCCTCCCTTTGTCCCTCCCCGCCTTGTACTTACTCCTGCTCTCTCTCAAAATAAAAAAATAAAATTATGAAAAAATTGTAAAATACACATACCCTAAAATTTATCTTAGCCATTTTAAAGTGTATATAGTTCATTGGTATTAAGTGTATTCATATTGTCGTGCTACACCATCACCACCATCCATCCACAGAGCTTTTTTCGTCTTGCGAAACTAAACCTGTACTCATTAAACAATAATTCCCCATTACCTCCTCTCCTCTCATTTATGGTAAGCACCATTCTACTTTTGTCTCTGTGACTTGACTCTAGGTACTTCACATAACTGGAATCATAACAGTATCTGTTTTCATTGTGATTGGCTTATTTCATGTAGTATAAAGTTTTTAGTGGTCATTCAGATTGATATAGTGTACATGTATCAGAATGCCCTTTTTTTTTTAAAGATTAAAACAATTTTTCTTCTTTTTTCTTTCTTTTTTTTTTTTTTTTTTTTTTTTAATTTTTGAGAGAGCAGAAGCAGGGGAGGGGCAGAGAGAGAGGGAGACAGAGAATCCCAAGCAGGCTCCACCCTGTCAGCGCAGAGCTCGATGTGGGGCTTGAATTCAAAAAGCCATGCGATTATTACTTGAGCTGAAGTCAGATGCTCAACCGACTGAGCCACCCAGGGGCCTCCAGAATGTTCTTTTTTTAAGGCTGATATCTTTTATCTTTTCATCTGTCAGTGGACAGTTGGGTTACTTCTACCTTTTGGCTATTGCAAAGAATGCTGCTATGAACATGGGTGTACAAATACGTCTTCTAATCCCTGTTCTCCATTTTTTGGGGGGATATACCTAGAAGTGGAATCACTGAATAACATGCTAAATTGTACATCGGATGCTTAACCGACTGAGCCGCTCATGCGCCCCAGACATCTCAAAAATCTTAAATGTTTTACTTTTGCCAAGTTGATGTCGTCATTTTAAGAATTGCTGTATTTTTTAATTGTGTATGAACGTGGATTATTTCTTCAGTTTAACACACTTTATTTTAGTTGTTTGTTTTGCTGAGTATAGTATGCCAAAATGAAATAATGAAATTTCATTTTGATAGCTTGAAATAACTGTGAATGCACCTGATGTAGGATGTATAGCTGTTGTTGAGCATCCAGTCTCCACAGATGTGACTACTCAGCAAATGAAACAAGAAGAAAATTTGAAGGCATTATCTATGGTAAGCATCCATTCTAATATGTTTTGTCTTTAACTCTGTTTACTTTAAAAAAAAATAGAAGTTTATTTTGAAAGTTTTGAGTTTATAAGCCATTCTTACTAATTTCTCTCATGCAGGGAGCTATAAGTATGAATAGTAGAAACTGGTAAATAATCCAAAGATTTTATATTTCACTCACAAAGCATTGATTTGTGTATGTTTGTGTGAGTCACTCTTAATATCCTCATAAACTTAAATTAAAGTTCTGTTGCATTAAATCTGTATTCAATATAAATTATTTAAAATATATTTAGTTCCTTTTTGTTTGATACTCTTCCTTGTTTTTGCAAATCAAGTCTGGGAATTATTTATTAAAAATTTTTTTTTACAGTTTATTTATTTTGAGAGAGAGAATGTGCTAGCAGGGGAGGGACAAACAGAGAGGCAGAGAGTGAATCCCAAGCAGGCTCCACAATGTTAGTGCAGAGCCCGATGCTGGGCTCAGTCTCACAAACCTTGAGATCATGACCTGAGCTGAAATCAAGAGTCGGACACTTAACCAACTGAGCCACCCAAGTGCCCTCACCTTTTCACATTTTTTAAATTACTGGTCTGTGTGTCTTTTTGTTGAGTTGTAAGAAATTTTTAAATAGTAAGGATATAAGTTCCTTATCAGATATACGATTTCCAAATATTTTCTCCTGTTCCGTGAGTTATCTTTTCAATTTTTTTTTAATTAGAGCATGAATAGTGGAGAAGGGCAGAGGGAGAGAGAGAGAATTCCAAGCAGGCTCCATGCTCAGTGTGGAGCACAGTGCAGTGTTTTATCCCACAACCCTAGGATCGTGACCTGAGCCAAAATCCAGTGTCAGATGCTCAAGTGACTGAGCCACCCAGATGCCCCTGTCTTTTCATTTTCTTGATGGTTCCCTTTAAGTGCAGACGTTTTTAAATGTGATAAAGATCGTTTTATGTCTTTTTTCTTTTGTTGCTCAGGCTTTTGTTGTAATATTTAAGATATCTTTGTGAAAGCCAAGATCTTGAAGATTTACTCCACTTTTTCTTCTAATAGGTTTACAGATTTTACTGTAGTATTACATTTAAGGCTTTAATCCATTTTGAGTTAATTTTTTATATGGTATGCGGTTAGAGTTCTTCATTCTTTGCACATGACAATACAGTTGTCACACTATTTCTTTGAAAAGACCATTATTTCTTTATTGAATTCTCTTGCATTCTTGTCAAAAATCAATTGGCTGTAGATGTATGGATTTTTTTTTCTGGATTCTCGGTTCTATTCCATTTCCTGTCTCTTCTTGTACCAGTGATGCTCGATTGATTACTGTTGCTTTGTGGTAAGTTTTGGAATTAGGAAGTGTAAGCCATCCTACTTTATTCTTTTTTTAGGATTGTTTTAGCTATTGTGGGTCTCTTGTAATTCCATATGAATTTTAAAATCATCTTGTTATTTTCTACTCGACATAATCTAAGATTGTGATTGGGATTGCATTGAATCTGGGGATCACTTTGGGGGGGCTAGTCCCATATTAACAGTTTTCTAATTCATGAACATGGATATTTGTCCATTTACTTAGATCTTCTTTGATTTCTTTCAATAGCATTTTGTAGTTTGCAGGGTATAAGCTTTGCACTTCCTTTGTTAAATTTATTTTCAAGTATGTTGTATCTGAGGCTCTTGTGAATGGATTGGTCTTCTCAATTTCACTTTCAGGTTTTTCATTGCAAGTGTATATAGAAATACAATTGATTTTTGTATGTTGGTCTTGTATTTTGCAACTTTGCTGAACTAATTAGTTCTAATAGATTTTTAGTGGATTCCTTAGGATTTTCTATTTACAAGATCATGACATGTGAATAGAGATAGTTCTACTTCTGCCCTTCTGTATTAGTTTCTCAGTGCTTCTATAACAAAATGCTATCAACTAGGTGGTTCAAAACTACAGAAAGTTATTTTCTCAGTTTTGGAGGCTAGAATTCCAGAATCACCATCCCCCTTCTGAAGACTCTGAGGGAAAAACTATTCAGGCCTTTCTCCTACCCTCTGACAATTGCCAGAGATCCTTGTCATTGCTTGGCTTTATGGCAGCACATTTCCAACTTCTGCCTCCATTGCCACATGGTGTTCTTTCTGTATGTGTGTCCTGACTTTTCTTCTAAAGACACCTGTTGTATTGGATAGGGCCAGCCCTAATACAATATGACCTCATATTAGCCTGATAACATCTGAAAAAGCCCTGTTTCCAAATAAAGTTACATTCATGTTACTCAGCTTAGGACTTCAACATATCTTTCTCAGAAACAGAATTTGACTTAACACTTCTCCGTCTGGATATCTTTTATTTCTATTGCTTGCCTAGTTTCCCTTGCTAGAACCTCCAATACATATTGAACAAAAAAATGGCAAGAACGCATACTTTTGTCTCATTCTTGGTCTTAAGGGAAAGCATCCAGTCTTTCACCATCAAGTTTGATGTTAGCTCTGGATTTTTCATAGGTTTTTTTTTTTTTTTTATCAAATTGAAGTTTCAGTCTATCCTTGGTTTGTGTGAGAGGATTCTTAGGAAAGGATGTTGGCAGTTTTCATATGCTTTTTATGCATCTTTGGAGATCATGTGATTTTTGCTTTTTTTTTGTACTGATATGATGTATTACATTCATTATAACAGGATGTCAAATCAAAAATTGCATCCTACTTGGTCATGGCATGCAATTTTATGTTGCTGGATTTGGCTTGCTGGTATTTTATTAAGGATTTTTATGTGCAAATTCATAATAGATAATTCTTCTGTTTTCTGCTATGAATCTGACCCCAGATTCTTGGGTCAGGAGCTAAAGTCCTGATCCTCTTAGAAAGAAAGGTCTTCTGCAGGGACTTGCAAGGAGAAAGGGGCCTTATTTTCTTGGCTGCAAATGTCTGAGGTGGAGTCTCTGGTTTATTGAGCTGGGAAGAAGGAGCGGGGAGAGAGTCTTAGTTGAGATACCACAGGCTCTTACTTTGTTACCTTGTTTTCATCAGTTGCTCAAAAAGAGGTTTCTGTTGCCTTTATGACCATTTCCAGAGGCTTTAAATATTTGGTTTTATTAAATTTTGCCAGTTTCACTGGGGAGAGGGTCAGCAGAGCCTTATGATGTCATGCTGGACATAGATCTTGTAACCTTTTTATTTTTTTTTTTAAGTTTATTTATTTTGAAAGGGAAAGAGAAAGTGGGGGAGAGGCAGAGAGAAATGGAGACAGAATCACAAGGAAGCTTCACATGACAGTGTGGAGCCCAACAAGGGGCTTGAACTCATGAAGTGTGAAAACATGACCTGAGCTGAAATCAAGAGTCAGATGCTTAACTGAGCCACTCAGGTGCCCAGATCTTGTAACTTTTTAATTTATTAAAATTCATTTAAGTTTTAAGCCACCTAGTTAAAAAAAATTGGTGAGATTCGTCAGACTCTGGTTTCCATTGGATTAAAACCAGTGACAAATATGGCTGAAGTTGAAAGATTATGAAAGTGAAGAAGTGAAGTAAGCCTAGTAAATGCACATGGTAGATGGAATATGATTAAAGTTAAAAAGAAAAAGTAAAATAAGTAGCAAGAGACAAAAGAATTTGGCTTTTAAATTACTTCTGTTGATGAAATATTCTGAATAATTATAAAGGGAAAGCACAGTTTCCTCTCCTTTGTAATCAGAAGCATAGAAGAACTGTAAAAGCATAGTGCTTTTTGAGACATAGAACATATATTTGGGAAAATACATAAGGCATTGCTTATCTTTTCCTCTTCTAGGAAATGACCACAGGTGAACATACCCAAGATGAAACAGGTAACTGTTAATAAGGAAACTGCCAAAACTACCTGGTTAACACTAGCAGGGTGATTTAAAATTTTTTTTTTTTAATTTTAACTTAATTTTTTTTAGAGGGAGAGAGCATATGAGTGTGCATGTGCAAGTGGGTGAGGGACAGAGAGAGAGAGGAAGAGAGAATCTTTTTTTGTTTTGTTTTTTAAATGGTGATTTATTTATTTTGAGAGTGTGAGTGAGGAAGGGGCAGTGAAAGAGGGAGAGAGAGAATTCCAAGCAGACTCCACGCTGTCAGTACAGAGCCTGACATGGGACTCGATCTTATGAACTGTGAGATCATGACCTGAGCCCAAATCAAGACTTGGAAGCTGCTTAACAGACTGAGCTGCCCAGGCACCCCTAGTATTGGTATTGGTTAGTAAATGGGTCCTTGCTGGGAGTTGAACAAAAAGTTTCCACTGTTGAATGTTTTATCTCCAGGAGAAACTTGGATTCTTGGAATAATTACTTTATGAAGTGAGTTAAATGTTTAATAAAGAAGTATTATTTCCTCTGATCTGCACAGGTTTACTTTCTTCGAAGGTAACTTAAGTTATTTAATGGGAGGGAGGCATTTTCAATGAATAAAAGCTAATAATGCATGATTTCTTTTTTTTGTAGTAATAAAATACTACCCTAGTAAGGAATTAGTGGTATGGAAGATATTGAAACTTGTTGCTAGAGGATAAACACCTGAATTAAAAATGTTTTCTAAGCAAACAATCGTAAATTTCCAGATTCATCCTTCTGTTTTAATGTTGTTACATTTTCTCACAAGGTACCAATGATGGAAGCACTGAAGCTGCTATAACTTTACTTACAATGGGAGATCTAGTGTTGCAGTCAGAGATTGGTACAGAACAGAGTGATGGTAAGAATGAAAGATAAGGCCTACTGAAAAAAACCTTTTAAAATCCAACTTCTAAGAAATTATACCCACAGTTGAGTAATAAGTCAGTACTTTTACATTTGAAGTTGGTATAATTTTGTTGTTTTTCCAGAAGTAAGTAATATGTGTGCATTGATGCACCCACCTCAGCCCATTTAGATGTAGTGGCCACCATTTCAAGATAGTACACTTGGTTTATTGAAAAAAGGTTGTATTTCTGGAATAATCCAGTGAGTCCTCCACCTTTCTCATCATAAACATTGGTTAATTGAGATCACTGATCACTTTATACAGGTTTCTTTAGCCAAAGGAGCTCCTGCTTTGGATAGTCTTCACAATTACCTGACAGTGGAATACCGTATCAAGGGACAATAACAGTCAATGACATAATTTAGTTTGGACTGTTTCGTTAGTTTGAACTGAGCCAAAATATATGTCCACCCAGATTTTTAATATTTTAGGCTGGCCTTAATGGAGAAGCTATGGTCTTTACTCTCTAAGCACCTTCTATTTTAAGTACATTAAATGGATAGTTACATTAATTATTTTCCTGTTAATTATTGTGCCTGGACATGAGTGGGTTGCCATTTTTACTATATATTATTCAGGGCCTATAACTATATATTTATCAACGAATTCTCTGGTCTGTGTTTCTTACATGGCTCATTCTCTCTCTCTCTGTCTCTTTTTTTTTTTTTTTTAAGTAAACTGTACACCCATCGTGGGGCTCAAATTCACGACCCTGAGATCAAGAGTCACATGCTCTACTGACTGAGCCAGCCGGGCACCCCTATATGGCTCCTTTCTCAGTGATAGAGCATTGCTTTGGAGCCTGTCACAAATCTCTAGAACCTAAAATACAGGTTTTTAAAAATTGTAAATGAAGGTGATAATATCTTGAAACTTATTTGAGGCTATGTAGTTACTGAAGGCAAAAAGATTCATTTTTACTTATAATAGCACAAAAATTTTAGTGTGTGAGAATTATTAAGCCTATAGTTGTTTAATGTTGAAGGATTTACTTTCTTTGGATATCTACTTGTGTTGGGTCAATTTTAATTTTCTGTTCTTTTCTGTAATAGGAGTATGTGTACTTCTTGATGTTCATTCAAAGGATAAAAGCTGTGTTCCTTTTAGCCCAGATAATGTAAATCACAAAATTGTTCGTGAATGTCAGGAGCTTTCTTCACCTGTCAGTAGTACATCTCCTTCACCATTAGAAGAAAACAAGATTGTATTGGAAGAGCAAAGTACTAAAGAAGAAATTGGTTTAGTGGAGGAAGTAAAGGAAAATGCTATATCAACCAGGTTTAATTTGCTTTATTTTTTTTCCTTTTTTTTTCTTTTCTTTTTTTTTTTTTTTTTTTTTTTTTTTTTTTTTTTTTTAAGTAGGCTTCATGCCCGGTGTGGAGCCCAGTGCAAGGCTTGAACTCATGTCCCTGAGATCAAGACCTGAGCTGAGATCAAGAGTTGGATACTTAACTGACTGAGCCACCCAGCCCAGATGCCCCTACTTTGCTTTATTAAACTCTTGAGTTTTACTAGAAAATAAGAGTGCCGGGTTGGCTCAGTTGATTAAGCATCTGACGTTAGCTCAGGTCATGATCTCATGGTTTGTGAGTTCAAGCCCTGCATCAGGCTCTCTGCTGTCAGCACAGAGCCCACTTTGGATCCTCTGTCTCCCCTCTCTGCCTCTCCCCTGCTTGCACTCTCTCTCAAAAATAAATAAGCATTTAAAAAAATTATGAAGAAATTTATTATAATAAATATATTTAAGTCAACTATCGATTAATTTATAATAGCTTTTGAGTAATACTTGTGTAAGTGTAAATTTCACTGCTAATTTTTCAGCCTTTAAAGTGAGGATTGGCTGGTTTGACTTTAATGGTTTGAATATTTCTATTTATTTATGTATTTTAAGTAGGCTCCACACCCAATGTGGGGCTTGAACTCATGGACCTGAGATCAAGAGCTGCATGCTCTACTGACTGAGCCAGCCAGCGACCCTTAATGGTTTGCATATTAAAGTTAATGCAATATGTGCATCTTTGAAGCTTTAATGAGATAGTTTTATGTAACTATAGTCTCTGTTTTACAGACATGGTCCAGATTCTCTTTCCTTCTCCACACTTTCAGTAAAGTAACTTTAACATTAAAAAATGAACACTTAACAGAGATTGTGGCACCTGAGAAGGTGACACGTAACTATATAAGAGTAGTGAAGAAGGTGAGAGAGCTAATTCTGACACAGTTGATGAATTTCTCTCTCTTCCCATCTTTTTTTTTCTAGGAATACAACCTCTGATGTGACCAGTAATTTGAGAATGAGAAGTAGATTTGCCAAGCCTAAGCCAAATCTTAAGACTTTAAGGACCAGCAGGTTTGGCGTTCATCAGGAAGTTCCCAATTTGTTTGCAAGCCAAGGAGAAGTAGTAGAAAGTCAAAGAGGTAAATGTGTTTCCCTTAAACAGCTACAAAATTACTTTTATAGGAGAATTTGCATTAACATTTCAAGTAGAATATTTGGTTGTTAAAATTATTTTAATTTACTATTAAAAAGTTTCAAAAAGTAGAATGACTTATAAAATAAATACCAATAAACCCATCAACTGGCTTCAGTAATTATTACCCTTTGCTCTATAGATGACCCTTACTAACACAGGTTTGAATTGCATAGGTCTACTATACATGGATTTTTTTGATAAACAGTATAGTACTATAAATATATTTTCTCTTCCTTAGGATTTTCTTAATATTTTATTCTAGTTTTATTGTAAGAATTTGGTATATAATACATATACAAAATATGTTAATTGACCATTTATGTTACTGATAAAGCATCTGGTCAACAGTAGACTATTAGTAGTTAGGTTTTTTGGAAGTCAGTAGTTAATATGCAGATTTTTGACTGCATGGGAGGTTTATACCCCGATCCCCCCATGTTATTCAAGGGTCAACTGTATGTATTTGATCAGACATTTTTTGTATGTGTGCACATGGAATAATCAAATAAACATTTTTAAAGGCAGATATACATGATGTGGCAAAAAAATAAGACCGTGTCTATAAGGTACAAAATTTAAAAAACTTCTTCCTTGGTTCCCAGTCCCCTAATCTCACTTGCAGTGGTAAACTGCCATTAAGTTTGTAGACTTCCAGGAGTGTATTATACACACAAGCATCTAAATGTGAGGCTGTGTGTGTGTACATACGTGCATCCACATATGTATACACATATATGTACATAAACACATGTATATTCCTTTCAGAAAGAATAAAAATCTAAGCATACTATATCATATATAGTGTTCAGCCCTTAGGAAAAAAACAATTTTACTGAGATAATTCTATGTAATACAGTTAAACCCTTTGAAGGGTACAATTCAGTGGTTTTCATATATTCACCAAGTTATGTAACCATCACTGTTAGCAGGCACTCCCATTTCCCCAAGTTCTAGGCAATCACTAATCTTTTTCTGTCTCTGTAGATTTGCTTAGTTTTGATGTTTTGTATGAGTGGAATCACATAAGTGGTCTTTTGTGTGGATGTCTTTTACTTAGCATGTTTTCACAGTTCATCTATGTTGTAGTATACGTCAAATACTTCATTTCTTTTTCTTGTCAAGTATTCCATTGTATAGCTATATTACATTTTGTTTATTCATTTATCTGTTGTTGGGCTTTTGGGTTGTTTTCTGTTTTTTGGCTCTTGTAAGTGACGCTGCTAAGAACATTCATGTATAAATTTTTGTGTGGACATAGTTTTCATTTCACTTGGATTTACATCTACAAGTAGAATTGCTGGATAATATAGTAGTTCTATGTTTAACCTTTTGAGAAACAGTCAAACTGTTTCAAAAGTGGTAGCAGCATTTTTTAATTTTTTTGCTTATTTTAGATTTTTTGTTTTATTTTTAAGTAATCTCTACCCCCAACATGGGGCTTGAATTTGTAACCCCCAAGATCAAGACTTACATGCTCTACTGACTGAGCCAGCCACACACCCCAACATTTTGTATTTTCACCAATATTCTGTGAGGGTTTCAGTTTCTATTCTCTCAGACCCTTGTTATTAGATATTCTAGTTATCGTGAAGTAGTATCTCATTGTAGTTTTGATTTGTGTTTACTTGATGACCATTGATATTGAGTATCTTTTCATGTGCTTATTTATGTATCTTTTTTTTAGAGACATGTCTATTCAGATCTGTGCTCATTTTTAAATTGGGATATTTGTCTTTTTAAAATCTTTTTTTTTTTTTATGTTTATTTTTTGAGAGAGAGAATGTGAGCAGGGGAGGGGCACATAGAGAGAGGATCTGAAGTAGGCTGTGTTCTGAGAGTGGAGAGCCGGATATGGGTCTCGAACTCACAAACTGAGATCATGACCTGAGCCGAAATCAGATGCTTAACCAACTAAGCCACCCAGGTGCCCCATGGGATTTTTCTCTTTTTAATATTAAGAGTTCTTTATATGGTAGCATTCTTTTTAAAGATTAGTGTATTGAAAAAAATCTGTCTATAGGGTCACATAGGGCTCTTTTATTTTTTTAATGACCTTACTACTTTGTGATGTACATGTTGAATCCTACTGCCACTTCTTTTTCCACCTCCCCTCCCTACCAAAGGCCCAACCCCTTTAGGTGCTAGTGAGAGCAGGAAAAAATGCATGCAGTAAGCTGTCTAGATTGTATAAAATCCTATAGGTAGAAGATCTGGATGGTTAGCAACATCTTTTCCCTGTTTGGGGGTTCCTGGTTTTTGGTATTTCCTTTCAACCAGCAGTGCCTATGGTTCAGTTAGTTAATTCATTACTTACTCTGCGTTCAGGAATACCCAGAAGCTGTTTCAGTATGCAGGGTGAGGTTACCTTACTTACTTATTTATTTTATTTTTATTTAAAAATGTTTAATGTTTTATTAAATTTTTTTTTAATGTTTATTTTTGAGAGAGTGCAAGTGGGGGAGGAGCAGAGAGAGAGACAGAGAGAGGGAGAGAAACAGACACAGAATCCGAAGCAGGATCCGGGCTCTGAGCTGTCAGTACAGAGCCTGAAGCGGGGCTCAAACCCATGAACTGTGAGATTAGGACCTGAGCCGAAGTCAGACAGTTAACTGACTGAGCCACCCAGGGGCCCCTAAAAAAATTTTATTTAAATGTTTGTTTATTTTTGAGAGAGAACGTGAGCAGGGGAGGGGCAGAGAGAGAAGGAGACAGAATCTCAAGCAGGTTCTGTCCTGTCAGCACAAAGCCTGACATGGGGCTTGAACTCATGAACCGTGAGATCATGACCTGAGTCTAATTCGGATGCTTAACTCACTGAGCCACCCAGCTGCCCCTAAAAATTTTTTGACTGTGGTTGACACACAGACATTAGTTCCAGTCATAGTACGTAGTGATTCAACAAGTTTGTACATCATGTTCTGCTCTCCAGAAGCATACCTACCATCTCTCACCATACAGTACAATTACAGTACCATTGATTATATTCCTTATGCTGTGCCTTTTATTCCCATGATTTATTCATTCCATAATTGGAAGCCTGTATCTCCCACTCCCCTTCATCCACTTTGCCCATCCACCTACTTCCCTCTGGCATCAATTTTTACTTGGTATTTATAGGTCTGATTATGCTCTTTGTTTATTCATTGGCTTTTTAAAGATTCCATAGATGAGTGAAATCATTTGTTGTTTGTCTCTCTCAGTCTGACTTATTTCACTTAGCATAATACCCTCTAGATCTGTCCACGTTGTCGCAGATGGCCTGGTGTCGTCCTTTTTTTTTTTTAAATTTTTTTTAATGTTTATTTATTTTTGAGACAGAGAGAGACAGAGCATGAACGGGGGGCGGGTCAGAGAGAGAGGGAGACACAGAATGTGAAGCAGGCTCCAGGCTCTGAGCTGTCAGCACAGAGACTGATGTGGGGCTCGAACTCACGGACTGTGAGATCATGACCTGAGCCGAAGTCGGCCACTTAACCGACTGAGCCACCCAGGCGCCCCCCGTGTCGTCCTTTAATGGCTGTGTAACATTCTGTTGTGTGTGCATGCCACATCTTATCTGTTCATGTATTGATGGACACTTAGGTTACTTCGGTATCTTGGCTTTTGTAAACAGTGCTGCAGTAAACATAGAGTTGCTGCACATATCCTTTGAATTAGTGTTTTCATTTTCTTTGAATACCTACTAATGGAATTTATTGAATGATATGGTAATTCTAAATTTCATTTTTAGAGCAATATCCATACTGTTTTCCATCATGCCTGTATCAGTTTACATTCCCACCACTAGTACACAAAGATTCCTTTTTCTCTACATCCTGAGTTTATTTTTGTGTATAGTAGAAAGTGGTCCAGTTTCATTCTTTTGTATGCAGCTGTCCAGTTTTCTCAGTAACATTTATTGAAGAGGCTGTCTTTTCCCCATTGTATATTCTTGCTGCCTTTGTCATAAATGGACCATATAAATGTGGATTTATTTCTAGACTCTCTGGTGTCTTCCATTCATCTACTTTTTTGTGTGTGGGCCAGACCATACCGTTTTGATAATTACAGCTTTGTAGTATATCTTGAGATGTGGGAATATGATACCTCCACCTTTGTCTTTCTTTCTCAAGATTGCTTTGACTATTCAGTCGTGTGATTCCACAGAAATTTTAGTATTATTTGGTCTAGTTTTGTGAAAAATGCTGTTGGTATTTTGATAGGGATTTGAACGTAACTCTTTTATATAGAAGTCATTTTATTCTTCTTTGTGGAGCAGCTCCCTCCCCAACATTTCCCCCAAGGTGGAGCTAGACCTCACATGTACCCACCTCTAAACTTCTTTTGTATGTGGGTTTGTGATTATATTGCTGTCATCATAGGGTGGACCTAAAATTGCTGTGACAACCACGAGTGAAAAATGTGTAGTGTAGCATTCATTAATCCTCTGTTTCAAAAATCTCACTGGCCAGGATCACTCTTCTGCCATGTGAATAAGCTTAATTTTTGGATTAAGAGAAATTTGGAAGAGTTGCTATATACTGATCTGTCTTTGAGGAGAGAACATATTTCTAATGTGGAGGTTTTAGCTGTACTGTTTTGGACTGTATCTTAAGTTTGTTTTTTGTTTAAGAAACTGAGAAAAATGGTTCTGAAGCAATGGAGGAATTACAAGATAAAAAATTTGAATCACTTACAACAGCACTGAATAAGGAGCAGAACATCTTGGCATGTGAACATGGTATTGAAGAGATGACTATTTCTCAAGAAGCAAACCTAACTGAAAGGTAAGAGGGAGGAGATTCCGGAATTTTGTTTATATTCTCTTTCAGCTACAGTAATTAGCTATAGCTTTAGGAATTTGATTGGCAAAAGGGGGGGTTCTGTTGCATTAAATGTATTTTAAAAATTTGGACACCATTAAATAATCTTTGACTCATTTAGCTCTAAACATTACTCTGTGGTTGTCCACTTGGTTTCACATTCAAAACTGTAATACATACTCTGAAGCTCTAATATATACTAATTTCTCTTTCAGAAATGATGATCAAGAAGAGGAATCTCAAAAGGTTCAGTTATCTTCAGTTGATCCAATTGTTTGCTCTGAAACAAAGCCCCATACGCTTGGTTCAGATATGGGTCTCAGTGAGATTTGTATCAAAGAGCCCGAGAGAGAGGACTCTAATGGAGACACTGTGCTTACACTTAATGTGTCAGAGGTAAAAGAATGTAAAATATATCATGGGGGGGCTGGGTGTGTATTCCCCACTTAAAAAAAAATTAAGGTGTAATTTACATAGAATAACCTTCACCCTTTTATGTGCACTTCTGCAAGTTTTGGCAAACATATATAGTTGTGTGAACACATGAACGGTTCCATCATTCCCCACATTTCCCAGGGCCCTTTTTTAGTCACCCCCTTTTACCACCCTCACTACTTGGTGATCACTGATCTGTTTTCTTTCCCTATAGTTTTGTCTTCGCAAGAATGTATTGTGATATATTTTTTTATTAAGTGTATTTTTAGTCTTTGGAGCATAGATAAAATAGCCAATACATAGCTTTGCCATAAAAATTTGGAAAAAGGAAGTGTTTTGTATACAGACTATTTACCTCTTGCTTGCTGGCCTCTGAGTCTGAGAAATACGTTGCAGGTGTTTCCTTGAGATATTATTATATGTTCATTGCTGTGTGAGGTATTGGACAGACAAAGTTAGGGGACTCATATGAGTGAATGCTTAGGCTCTGATGGGTGCTATGAAAGCAAGTTGCACAAGACTCTTAAAGGAGTGGTCCTCAATCCAATCCAGTAAAATCAGTATCTGGAAATAAGGTGTAGGCATTTGCAGGATTTTGTTTTTTTGTTGCTGTTAAAGGTTCTTAAGTTATTCTAATGTGTAGCTGGGACTGAAAGAATCCACGTGGGTGGCTTAGTTAGTAAGTGTCTGACTCTTGATTTCAGCTCAGGTCATGATCTTGTGGTTTGTGAGTTCAAGCCCCACATTCTGCTCCATGCTGATAGTGCCGAGCCTGCTTGGGATTATCTCCCACTCCCTCCCCCTGGCCCCTGGTCTCAAAATAAATAAATAAACTTACAAGAAAAAAAAAATCCTGGATCTAGAAGAACGGGTATGAATTAGCCAGTTAAAGGGAGAGGAACATGTGTAAAGAACAGGTGTGAAACAGCATGTCATATTCAGGGAGTATAATTAGTTATGAGTGGAATATAAATGAAGAAGTAGTTAGAGTGAGGTTGGCAGCCTGGGAACAGATCATAAAAAGAAATTTTTATGGCTTGTTAAGGAGTTTGGATTATATCCAAAGTTAAGGGATTTTCCCTACCCCCCCAACGTGTTTGTTTTTACTTCATATTTTGAAATAATTTCAAGCTTGTTGAAAAGTTTCAAAGATCTTACATAGAATTCTTACATAGAATCTTTACTTAGATTCATTAGTTATAAACATTTTGCTTCATTTGCTTTTTTTCTGTCTTGTTCTCCATCTCTATAGATACATACTTTTAAAAAACTGAACCATTTGAAAGTTGCAGATGTGAGACTTCACCCATAAATACTGCAGCTTATATCTGATATGAACGAGGACGTTTCTTATAGAGAAATGATACTCTTGTCATACTCAGTATTACCATACTATCTAATATTGATTTAATAACAATATGTAATACATAGTTCCAGTCAACGCTCTCACATTGCATTTAGTTGTGATTCTCCTTATTCTCTCACTGTCTTTCAGTGTTTATTTATTTATTTTGATAGAGCAGGGGAGGGGCAGAGAGAGACGAAGACAGAATTCCAAGTAGGCTCCTTGATGTCAGTGCAGACAGAGCCAAACATGGGGTTCGATCCCATGAACTATGAGATCATGATCTGAGCTGAAATCGAGAGTTGGAGGGCGCTTAACTGACTAAGCCTCCCAGGCACCCCTCTCCTTATCCTTTTTTTTTTTTTTTTTTTTTTTTGAGAGAGAGAGCATGTGCACCTGTGCGCACATGTGCAGGAGGGACAGGGGAGAGGAAGAAAAAGAATCCCAAGCAGGCTCCATGCTGTCAGCGCAGAGCCTGATGTGGGACTGGATCTCATAACCGTGAGATCATGACTTGAGCTGAAATCAAGAGTCAGATGCTTAACTGACTGAGCCACCCAGGCACCCCTCCTTATTCTCTTTTAATCTAGAGTAGCCCTCCTGCCCTTTTTCCTCTTTTGTGAATTTGACATTCCAGGCTAATTTACAATCAGGGTTTTTGTTGTTGTTCCCTATTATTAGATTCAGGTTAAATATTTTTTGGCATGATTATTACCTAGGTAACGTGTTCTTCCTTTTGTATACCTTTATTAGACATGTAATGTCAGTTTGTCCCATTATTGATGATGTTGACTAATTACTTGGCTAGAATGGTGCCTGCTAGATTTCTCCATATAACAGCATCTTTTCCACATAGTGTTAGTAATTTTTCATATGACACCCAACAGACTTCTACCTAGTAGTTTTAGTATCAGTTGATGCTTACCTGAATCAATTATTGACATTGTTGGTTACAAAACGTTTAAGTTTTAAGATTTTAAGCAGTAGAGAATTATAGTAAGAATTGTATTTTAGAGATTAAGTTGTTGGCAGTTTTGTGGAAAACAGATTGGAAGGAGCTGTGTTGGAGGCAAGGAAACATTTTGCTTCCATTCAGATGTTATCTAATAGCACAATGGCTGCTATTATAGTGGGGAAAGAGAGAAGGTTGAAGGATTTGAATCTCTCTTTCCTGTTGCTTCAAAAATAATTTGATGAAATTCTCATATTTAACAATTTACTGGGAATTTCTTTGTGTATATGTATGTTTATTTAAAGGAATCAAAAGTTACTGGTACTACTGGTTTCAAAACATTTGGAAAATTATATATGGTTAAATAGTTGAATTTTGAAGCAGTCACTCTTCCTGTATCCAATTGTCTGGAAAGCTTTTTAAAACTAAAATTTGGTTGATCTCATTCTTGAATTTTAATTAAATTTTTTTTAGTGTACACCAAGTAGTATGCCAGAAGTTCAACAGGAGAATGTAATCAATTCTCAAGATTTAACAGGTATGATAATCTGCTTTGATAAATCATCATCAAACTAAATAGTATGGCTTTTACTTCCATATCCCATTTGATTATGAAAAAAACTAAAAGAGTTTTTAAGTCTGCAATGGCCTTAAAATATGAAGTATTTTTTTAATGGTTTATTTATTTTTGAGAGAGAGAGAGCATGATTGGGGGAGGGGCAGAGAGAGAGGAACACAGAGGATCCGAAGTGGGCTCTGTGCTGACAGTAGCTAGTCTGATGTGGGGCTTGAACTCACGAACTGTGAGATCATGTCCAGAGCTGAAGTCAGATGCTTAACTGAGCCATCCATGTGTCCCAAACACTTGAAGTATTTTAGGTGTAAGTTTTTTTATTCAGAATTATACATCTCCTCTATAGTGAACCATCTTTATCCTTTCTGAAATTCCTTTTTATTTTTGTGGGTGTAATTTACTTTTTATTCTTGTGTATAAGTTGTCTTGAGACTTTAGAAATGTAATAAATTAATGATTTTCCGTTGTTTCATGGTTCAGCTGTTCATTACTAACTTTTAAACTTTGATAGTGAATCTAGTTGCTAACGTACATCAAGGTGGTGAAGATGAACAAGCATTCATTTTAACTCTGGTGGAAATCCCAACCAATGCCATAGAAGAATATACTGATACCACTGCCCAGTTAATGCCAAACCCTTTACTGCCAGCGCCCATATTGATCAAGTCCGTGAATACAGAAGGAAGGAGTGACATGAGGTAATGAATGACCTCAACTGTTTTCTTTTTTGTTTAAATTCCCGTTATTTAACATACAGTATAGTTTCAGGTGTATGGTGATTCAGCACTTCCATATAGCACCCAGAAGCTAAACTATTTTTGCTAGGAGGAAAGGTGCTTTATTACTCAGATAGTATTGACTGAATAAGCCATTCACCAACATTATTTGTATTTGTCCTTATTTAGTAATTATGTGATAAGTTAGAGAAGATATCATTGATTTTATATCTGATAAAGCTGCCATTTAAGTGTGTAATACTTTTGTATGAAACTTGTTTCGTATCTTAAGTATTTTGAAAGCTAAAAAAAATGTAGCAGTTTGGGTTATAAAATGCCGTCTGTTAAAGGTGTGGTTACTTTGTAAGCATATATATTTTAAATTCTGAAATAAATACATTCATAGAAGTTGCAAAAATAGTACAGAGAGATGACATTTTTGTATGTTTTTAATACTGTTAATTCTTTTCTATAGAATTTTTGTATTTTAACGGTCATTGGTTAAGGCACTTCATGGTCAAGTAGCATTAGATGTTGAAGCCTTTCATATTTGGAAGAGGGATTTTAGGGGTGCCTGGGTGGCTCAGTCAGTTAAGCATCCGACTTTTGATCTCACCTCAGGTCTTGATCTCAGGGATGTGAGTTGAAGCCCTGCATTTGGCTCCACGCTGGCTCCTACTTAAAAAAAGGAAGAAGGATTTTAGATTGAAATTTTAACTTTACAGACAAAGAAAACACTATTTTTGTACCTTAGATTTAATTCAGCATTAGAGAATTTGTGAGTTTTATAGAGTTGTGAGTTTTTAAATACGAATAGACATCAAAACTAACATTTTTGTGAGCTTGGCCATGTAAATATTAGTTACTTGAAAGTTTTTTGGCAGCTGTCATCAGGATACCTGAGCCTTTAACCTCATTAAGTAACTTCTAATTTGCTGATTTAACATGTATGCATTTCCTATGCAGTATGAGTTTTCCAGTAACTTCAGTTGGTCAGGATGCCATGTGTATATCTGATTCTGGAAGAGAGGATTCTGAAAAGCTTCCTGCTAATTTGGATCTTATAACTAGGAAGAGATTTCATTGTACGCTTGATGAAAGTGACCATGTTCCTCCTGCCAAAAAAAGTTCACTCACTTCAAGAGATGATTGTCAAAATTATACCTCTGAGGTAAGATAGAATTATCAAGCACATAAGATGGCCATATTACAACGGATCCATTTGTTTCCTTTAAACTCTTTAAATAAAGATAGTTCTAATAGTTTTCACCATAAATAACCCAGCTAAAACTGGTTTTAGATAATCACTTTTAACCAGTTCTAGGTGAAAATTGATGGACATTCATCAGGAAACCCATTCCCAGTTGTGTGTCATTGGCTAAAAATAAGGCCAAAAGCCTCCTGTAGATCTGGATCCTGCCTCTACCATTTAACAGCTGTGGGACCTGAGTCAAAATAGGTCATCTCTGTGAATGAGTTTCCTATTGTGTAAAATTATTACAGTAATATCATCACTACCAGGATCATAATGCTTAAAGCTATCCATTGCTCTTAAGAAGAAGACCCAGGACCTCGAAGGCCCTCTATTTGTCTGGTCCATTTCTGTCTCTGGCCTCACCTTGTGTTTGTCTCTCCCTTACTCTCTGACTATATTGGCCGTCTTTCAGGTTCTTGAATGCATCATACTTCTTCATATCCCAGGGCATTTGTTTTATTATCTCCTCTATATGAAACATTGCCTTGCCAGACATACACACTTCTTTAGCCTCCATCATCACTACCTCAGGGAAGCCTGAAGACACTATGCACATTTGATCACCAGCCACTATGTTAAAGGTTTCTTGGCACCCTCTTGTTTTTGTTTCTGATACTCATGATAATTTATCTCACTATGTAGCTACACTTTGGAAAAGTTAATTTAGAATGTATATTCTCAATGGGACAGTTGAAGACCAATCATCCTTAGATAGCAGACAACAGAGGCAATGTATTCTTTTATATCTGATAGGTGGAAGATGGTATCCTAGAATGTTTTTCATTTCTCTTATTACAAGTAAGGTTGAACATGTTTCATATGCTTAGAGCCATTTGTATTCTTTTCTCTGTGAAATGATTCTATATTCTTTAGCCATTTTTTAATTGCATTGTTGATCTTTTTCCTACAGATTTGGAGGAACTCTGTGTAATGTATGTCCATGAATGAGTTGCAAATATTTTTTCCCAGTGTGTCTTTTGACTCTACTTTTTGAGTTTTCTTCCCTTGCAGACATTTTTTGGTTGAATTTTTCTTTTTTTTTTAAGATTTTATTTTCTAGTCATCCTTACACCCAACATGGGGCTCAGACTTAACAACCCTGAGATCAAGATTCACATGCTCTACTGATTGAACCAACCAGGTGCCCCTGGCTTTTTAATATGAAAATTTTCAAGCATTTAAAAAGGTAGACAGGGTAGTATAATGCCTCCCCATGTACCAGTCACCCAGTTTCATCAATTTATCATCATTTCTTACAGACATTGTTTTGTTCAAAAGTATATTTAATGACTTGGGGAAAGGATCATAGTACATTGCTATGTGCAAAGCCAGGCCACCAGTTTATATTATGCCATTTAAAAATGATAGATGTACGTTGATGTGACTGTATAAGAACAGTATAATGTCTCGGACTTATTTGTGATTTTTCTTTTTTTTTCATGATTTTTGTTTTTTGACCTTTGTTTTCAGCTTTTTAACAATGAAAAATTGCTTATAAAATGTCATAATTGTAAATTCTGGAATACACATACTGCATTCAGATAGACATGCAAACAATTTTAATTTTTCTGTAATCATATTTATCAGTATTTTTATGTATGGCTTCTAGGGACTGTGTTAGATAGATATTGAAAGTCCACTTTGAGACTTAGTAGAAATTCTTAGAGTTAATATTACTGATTTGTTTAGAATTTATTTTGGTGTTAGGAGAGTGAAACCAACTTCATTTTCCCCAGGTGCCTGCCTAGTTGTCTCAGCACCGTTTTTTGAATAATTTATCTTTTCTCCACTGATTTAAAATTCCATTCTTATCACATATTAAATCCCATATGTATTTGTGTATATTCCTAAACTTTCTTTTCTTCTACTTTTAGATTCACCTATTTATTTTTGGGCCAGTATCCCACTCTTTTATATATAAAACTCTGTTTATATAAAAACTCTAGTTTTTAAATGCTTTACTGTCTTAAATGGAAGGTTTCCCTCTCCTCCCACATCGCTTTATTTTTTTCTTTTCTTTCCTTTTTTTTTTTAAGTTTATTTATTTTTGAGAGAGATAGCACACGAGCAGGGGAGGGGCAGAGAGAGGAAGAGAGAGAGAGAGACAGACACAGAAAGAGAGGGAGACACAGAATCTCAAGCAGGCCCCGGGCTCTGAGCTGTCAGCACAGAGCCCCAGAGCCTGACACCGGGCTTGAACTTAAGAGCAGTGAGATTATGACCTGAGCCAAAGTCGGGGGTTTAACAGACTGAGTCACTCAGGTGCCCCTACTTTCTTATTTTTTCTTTTCAAGTTTGTATATATTCTATATTCTATATATTCTATATTCAAGTTTGTATATATTTCTTTTCAAGTGTGTATATATTCTAAAGTTTGGGTTTTTTTCAAAATTTTACTTAAATTTTAGTTAACGTATAGTGTAATACTGGTTTTGGGAGTAGAATTTAGTGGTTCATCACTTAAATAAAACACTCAGTGCTCATCTCAAAAAGTGCCCTCCTTAATACCCATCTCCCATTTAGCCAATCCCCCCCCCAACCTCCCTCCGTCAACCCTCTGTTTTTTCTTCTTCATAAAGAGTCTCTTATGGTTTGCTTCCCTCTCTCTGTTTTTACCTTCCCATATGTTCATCTGTTTTGTTTTTTAAATTCTACATATGAGTGAAATTGTACAGTATTTTTCTTCCTCTGACTTACCTCGCTTAGCATAATACACTTCTTCAGTCGATGGACATTTGGGCTCTTTGCATAGTTTGGCTATTGTTGATAATGGTGCTGTAAATATTGGGGCGCATGTACCCCTTTGAATCTGTATGTATCCTTTGTGTAAATACCTAGTAGTACACTTGCTAAGTTGTGCAGTAGTTCTAGTTTTAAATTTTTGAGGAACCTCCACACTGTTTTCCAGAGTGGCTGCCCTAGTTTGCATTCCCACCAGCAGTGTAAGAGGGTTCCCCTTTCTCTGCAACCTCATCAACATCTGTTGTTTACTGCGTTAATTATAGCCCTACTGGTAGGTGTGAGGTGGTATCTCGTCATGGTTTTGATTTGTAATTCCATGATGATGAGTTATATTGAGCATCATTTCATGTGTCTGTTAGGTATCTGAGTGTCTTCTTTGGACAAATTTCTATTCATGTCTTCTGCCCATTTCTTAACTGGATTGTTCATTTTTTGGGTGTTGAGTTTGATATATTCTTCATAGAATCTGGCATATTACCTTTTAACTTTATCAGATATGTTACTTGAAATTATCTTCTCCCATTCCATAGGCTGCCTTTTAGTTTTGTTGATTGTTTACTTCATGCAGAAGCTTTTTATCTTGATGAGGTCCCAATATTCATTTTTGTTTTTGTTCGCTTGCCCATAGCATTGTGTCTAGTAAGAAGTTGCTACGGCTAATGTCAAAGAGGTTGCTGCCTGTGTTTTCTTTTAGAATTTTGATGATTTAAAGTCTATATTAATTCTATAATTAGCTTGTTCAGAGCTTTAAAAAATCCTATTGATGCTTGTTTTAGGATCATATTAACTTGACCACTTAAGATAGGGAAAATTGATGTCGTAATTGTGATGTTGAATTTTTTTTCTTTATCCAAAAACATGGTATGTCTTTTCATTTGTTTAATTATTCTTTTATGTCTTTTAGTGGTATTTTCATCTCCTCTTCATTTAAATTCTCCATTTCTTATTAGGTTATACCTAAGAATTTTATCTTTTGTTGCTATTATCGTTGAATTCTTTTCTATCTGGAGAGCTTACTAAATTCCCCTCATCGTATACAGTAATTTTTCTTTTGTTTCTGTTGGGTTTTCTAAGTAAAGTCATATTATCTGCAAATAAAATTTTAATTCTTCTCATCTACTTTATATAACTTTAGTTTCCTTCTCTTTTCTAACTATATTGGCTAGTATAATTTTAAAAAAAAGGTCATAAAATAGTCTTGATAGTAGATACATTTTTCTTACTCCTGACTTAAATGGGAATATTTCCAGTGTTTATGAAGTGAGATGCTGGTTTTTGAATTGTAGTAATTATAGTTTATGGTGTTAAGAAAATGTCTTTTTATTCAATGTAAAGTTTTTTCCAAGTATGAATATTATTGGACACTTTCGCTACAAACAGAGATATGATGATAGTATTTTTCTTCTCAGTTCTGTTGAATTATATTAGATTTCATATATTGAATCATCTTTGCATTCCTGAAATAAACTCTGCTTGATTATTATGTTAGTCTCTTGATGTGTTGCTGAATTATGTTTATACCATTTCATCTGATATTTTTGTACTGGTTAATTTGAATCAATATTAGCCTTGATTTATAAAAAGCATTTGGAAACTTTCCCTCTTTCACTGTGCTCTAAAACAGTTGAAAGAATAGGAGCAGTGTCTTTTTTATAAGTGTTTGGTAGAGTTTTCATAAGCTTTTACCCTCGAGCTTTCTGGGAGATACCTACTTTCTTTAGTTAGAAAAGAGGGTGGGAGGCACGTCGGGGGTTCAGTATCTGACTCTTAATTTTGACTCAGGTCATGATCTCATGGTTGGTGAGATTGAACGCCCATGGTGGGCGTTGTGCTGACAGTGCAGAGCCTGCTTGGGATTCTCTCTCTCCGCCTCTCTGCCATTTATGCACACTGTCTCAAAATAAACATTAAAGAAAAAAATAGAAAGATTGACTTGATACATGGATTCAATTTTTTTTGTAATTTTTTTTTAAAACAGGGGTGTTCAGAGGAAATAAGTGTTGAGGAAACAGGTGAGTGAAATAAATTTTAATGTGATTACATTTTGTTATTTTTGGATATTTTTGATGCATCTATTCAAATTTGGAATTGAAGAAGAGTCTTGCTTACTTTCTCTAAGTATTTTGCTTTTATTATTAGAAGTTTTTCTTCTTAGCTGAGATCTTGGATTTGGCACTTTCGTAGACATAAGCTACTTTCATCCTGTAATAACAGAAAACCATATGGCTACAGAATTTCCTGTAAAAGCTTAACAACTATATTTCAGGAATTACAAAGCTGAGCATAAAGGAGTTTTTATGGTTCCTTAGGTTTACCCAGAGATTAGAAAAGACATACATACATATATATATATATATATATATATATATATATATATATATATATATATATATATATATACACACACACACACATACAGAGAAAGCTTTTCTAGGTAAAAATAGGTTGATATGACTATTTTGTATCTGAATACAGAAACTGTTACCGTAGCTTTGTACCAGTTACAATTCTTAACAGTCCCGATAACTTATATATTAACTTATAATTTAGCTTACTCTTATTAGGGTAGGTTTATGATAGAATGTCCTGATTTTTTTCCTTCAAATATTGCAGTTCAACTGGATATATAAATTTCAAGATGGATGCTTACCATTTGTCTTTGTTTTTTGAAGGGGAGTCTTACAAGGGACAAGATACCTTCCCTACCTCAGGAAGCACACATACAACTCCAGAACCTCAGAAAGAGCAACTTGAACCAACTTTGCAGTGTATAGGATCTCAGTCTCTTGATGAAGTAATAGACACGCATGCAGAAACGAGTACACCTCAGTTACCTCAGAATGAGATGATTGTCTCTGATAAGGAAGAGGGAACTGGTGCTGCTTCAAAGTCTGAACAAATGGGTAGCACCACAGCAGCTTCAAAAACCCCATTATCCAGGTACCATGAGAAGCTCTTTAACAAATGCTCCTTTCCATTTCTGTCTCTCAAAGGACAAATGTAACCTCTACACAACAAATATAACATAAAGACTAAGTCCAGTACTAAGGATGATGTTTTATAAACATATTCCTCTGTCAGTAATGTAAAGGGGAGGAGTTTTGTCAAAGAAAATTCAGTAATGTCAACATTTTTGCAAGACTCCAGACAAATACAACATTCTGTATAACAAGAGCTTACCTTTAGATGCTGATACTAACTTTTAGGTAGAAAATCTGCATAGGTAGCTACTGGTATGATGGAATAAATAATGATCAGAATAATAATGACACGTAGTACACGTGCTGATGCCACTAAGGTGGTATATCACATGTGCCATTTTAGCATTAAAGAAAAGAAGTTGGTATTAAGAATGTGTCTTCCTGGATATCTTTGAATATGCTTGCATTTGCATTTCTAGACCTGGCAGAAGACCCCTGGGATTTTTGTCTTTAATATGTTCAAAGAATAGTTTGGAGTCTGATGAACCTACTCATGTTTATAATAAGAAACGCCTAAAGCCTTTTATACCTACACTAAGACAGAATTTGAAAAGATCAAATCCACTCAATGAAAGCCAGAAAAAAACCCAAGAGTCCTCTGATCTGCTTCCATCTCCAAGTGTTGTTGTTAATACCGAATCTGAGAATATTGGCAGTTCACCAGCTCAGGTATGTGATAACTGTCATATTTTATTATTTGTATAGAATGGGTTAGATATCAGACTCAACTAGGAAGAACATGGCAATTGTTATTTTCTTTTCGATGTCAGAAATTATGTCAGAGCATCGCTTGTCCATCTCCTGCCCGTCATACCTCATTATAAGGGAAAGAAGGTAGGTGTTGAATTAAGTTACAGCTCCTTTAGTACAGATCTATTAAGCTAGTCATAAATGGACACTTAACTGATACTCCTTTAATGCAAAGAAGTTTTTTAACCTGTGGAAGCAAAACAAAGCAGTAGTTTCATTCTGTTTGCTTTTGGGGAAATGTCCTGGCACCCATAAGAATTCAAGCAATGGTGCGGTGGCTGGGTGGCTCAGTCAGTTGAACATCTGACTTTGGCTCAGGTCATGATCCCACCGTTCGTGTGTTTGAGCCCCCTTCAGTCTTGCTGCTGTCAGCACGGAGCCTGCTTTGGATTCTCTGTTCCCCTCCTTCTCTGTCCCTCCCCGGCACTCTATTTCTCTCAAAAATAAATAAACATTAAAAAAAAATTTTTAAATTCAAGAAGTGGTAAGATTAGAATTTGTATGTTTCATTTCTCTATATTCTGAAGCTGTTCATATGGCAACTAGTGGGATGGAAAAATACATGAACTTGTATCAAAAACTTTGGAAGAATACTGGGGTTGGTTACTTATGAACTCAACACAGGAAAGCTATTGGATAGCATGAGCCTCAAAAGGAGTACTTTTATAAAAACCATCTTTAAAAAATTTTTAAATGTTTTATATTTCCTAGAATTATTTTCTGAGACTAATATTTTATGAGTCTTTATTATTGCCAAATTTCTTTGGAGAACAGTTATTATAATTACCAGCAATGTAGCTATGCCAGTTAAATTACATTCTTGCCAGCATTAGATCTTACTCTTCAAAGTAAATTTTTTCTAATTTATGTAACGGTAGAGGGTAGAAATGACATTTCATTTGTTTAATTTGCATTTCTTTAGTTATTAGTGGCTTGGTTGTTTCCCATACATTTACTACATTTTCTCTCTCTCTCTCTTGCTCTTTTTTTTTTTTTCTTCCTGTTTTGTTCCTATCTTTTGCTTATTTATAGCTTTTGGGATCTTAGTGGTTTGCTCACCAGTTTATGTCAGATCCTTAGGTAACAAAGCCACGTATCTTTAGCTCTTTGCTTCAGGTAATTTTTTCAAATTCATTTATTTTTTAAAATTTTGGAGGTTTTTTATGATGAATTCTAAATACATTTTACATAAAGAGGAATCACATTTTGCATTTCTGTAACTTTCTACTAAGGCAGCAAGGTCGGCAACATTAGACAGATTAATGGGAAGAATGTTCGTTGGTTTCTGTGCCAATTATCTGGAAGCCACTGCCTTCAGAGTCTGGACATG